ATTGCAGGAATAAGAACTGAGTTTTTGTCTATTTGCAGAGTTGATTATTGGTCAGTTTTGCATAAGGTTTGAAACTATCACAGCAAAACAGACAACAAGACAACAATTGAATGACTTGCTAATGGATCATATTATAAATAGAATTGAATAAGAAAAAAATAATGACAAATGTGAAAATATAAAAAGACGTTACAAATTGATGTTACAAATTTTCTTGCTTTTGGAACTCTCTTCTGGCTTCCTGCTTTCCAGTCAGCTTTGATCCTAAAAATGCAATCATCGTCTATCTTCTTAATTCCTATTCTTTTATTGTTCTCTCTACTTAATAATGTTTTTTTCTTATATATTTTCATACTTGGTAATCCCTTGTATCAGTGGCTTTATTGCCTTTTTTTACAGTGAAATGATTTCAATTCCTTTTGGCAATTTCAAACGAAAACAAAGACATTTTAAAGAGAATGCCTTGAAAGAACACTTAATCCTTTCCTAACCAAATTTAATAATACTATTTAGTCACAGAGGATGAAGCACTATTGAATCCAACTGAGTAAAGAGGCAGCTTCCATGTGTAAACATACAACAGGTCCCTTTCCCAGATTTACAGTAAGTTTTTCACTGTTTAATGCCATGAGGGAGTCGAGTGAGTATAGAGTAACAGTCAGTCAGTTAAGTGCCATACGTGATACACGTTTGGGTAATCATCTCTCTTTCAATTGAGTGACTAGGCAGATTTTCTCGGAGTAGGTTGCCATTTCTTTCTGCATTGTACTAGTTGCCAACCAAGGATATAGGAGCCAGAATATCCTGCTATTTAACCCATAGTTGGGAGAAGAAGAGTTGGATTCATATTTTTCTAATCTGATACCCAGTACACCAGTGCACATCCCTTACACACAATGCACATTGGTGTCAAAAAAAAAGTTATCCTTTTGACACACTGCTTTGAGCAGGTACGATGGTTAAACTTTGCCATTATTATTATTGAATAGATTTGTTTTCTTATTTCTTTATAAAATGGCAAATATTAAATATTGTATTGTATGTTAGTGTCCCTGGTTCATGTGTGGCAGACGTGATGAGACAGAACCTGGGACGAGCACAACTTGTTGCGACTTGCCTTGTCCCCGCCAATTTGCTTAGCATGCAAAGCTACTGCAGTTGAAATGAGGGAGAAAAAAAGCACTTACCACTCTACCGTAATCCGTCCTTGGCCAGATAACGTAAAAGAATGAGGGAGGACTTGCATTGCGTTTTTATGCAATAAAGATGCAATGCATTATGGGACAGGGACGCAATGAATTATGGGATCGCATGAAGATTTGTATTATGGATATATGGACAAATATAAAAATAACTAATTTTTTTCCCAGTGGGGGGCTTTGAGTGATGTTCACGGTTGGCGGCTAGAAAAGTCTGTTAGTGCGATTTTTGAGACAGAACTCAAGAAGGAAATCAACTTATCTGGAATACCAGCTGGGAGAGCTTGAGTTTAAATAAAAATGGTTGCTGTTTTCTTTTTATTCGCCACAACCTGTTTGTATTTCTAATTTTCCATAAATTATTTCAGAACTAAAAAGAAAAACATACATACTCAAGAGACCTTTTAACTTTGTTTCAATACAGGTCAACATAAAAGGAATAAATGTTCATAGCAGAAACACAAGTTTTTTGTATGCTTCTTTTTTATTTATATATTGAACATGCACCTTCACCTAAGAAAATACACACAAAACCCACAACCTTGTTAACATCTACACACTCACACTCAGAATTTCATCTCAAAATGCTTCATACAATTTTCATTAAGCCTAGGCAGCTTTCCCATTGTAAACAGTAGGAATATCTGCGAGGACTTAATGTGATCTGTGTATAAATATTTGGTGTTAGTATATTACTAATGCAGTGTATTTGTGTTTTCCTTTTTAATTCAGTACATACATTTAAGCTGTAACATGAGAAGTGGAAAAATCAGGCGTGGCTGACCACATATGTAGATAGAAGTGAGATCACCACCCTCTTTGGTATCAGGTTGAGATCATAGACAAAGAACACCATTGGAAAATTTGTAAACTTAAGGAATCAGCACATATATTAGGCCACAAAAATCTCCTGAGCTGACCAAGCATAGAAATGAATACAATATGAGAACCAGTAATAAGGAGTGCCAGAGGAAAGCGATAATAACAACAAAAATTGCAATATGATCTCTAGTAAAAACATGTAATGATAACAGCAAAAATTGCAATATGCGATTGGTAAAAAATTATGCTGAAGACATAATACCCAAAAAATCATACAAAGATGTCATTGAGGACATCTGTGTATGATAAAGGCGTTAGTTAGATCCAGTGACAGGACCCAAAGAGTGTGAGTTCAATACCTAGTTAAGGCAGAGGGGAATTAACAGGAGATGACTAATAATTGACTTCCATTAAACATGACACGTGGAACTAGAACAGTCTAACCCAGTGAGTAAAATAAAGAGTTCAGTTTGACATTCCAACCACCTTAAGTAGGCCAGAGCGTACAACGGCCGAAACGTTGTAATAAATATGATGACAAAGATGAGGGCAATAGTCCAAATAATGTAAATAATGTACATTTATTTAATTATCTTTGATCAAGTTTTAATAAGTGAGAAGTTGTTGTGGAATGGTTTCACAGTGGAAGCTTGTATTTGTACTAGTCAGTCATAAAATAGGTTTGACGTACAAAATGTTAGGAACTTGATATAATAGGTATAACGCAGAGTAATCTAGTTGTGGTCGCTGATACTTTAGTATTCGACTAACTGTCATCCGGCATCAATTCACTGACTGACCCATTACTCTTACTTATTATAGGTGGGAGAGTCTATTAACTATAGAATAGGTGTGTTCCACTATAACAGAAGTGGTACTCAATATCCCAGTTGAAATGTCTCTCATCAAATCAAGTCTAACATCAACTGGCAGTTTGAGGCATCACAGGATAAAGCCAGACTTTATATTGTGGAGGTTGTTTTAATTAATTAAATTATATGAATAAAAATGTTGAGTAATTAGACTGTGTGATGAAATTAAAATTTCCTCACATTAAATTTTAAAAAGATTGGAACATAGAATAAGGACAACATGAGAAACAACAGTTTTTGTACAACAATGAATAAAATATTTATATAAACAAGAGATACAAACAATTGGAATAAATAGGGGGTTTTAAAAAGTTCAAACGTCCTTTTATGTTTAGATGAAAAATTATCAAAGTTCTGGTTTGATAGATTATAATTTGTTGAATTTGTTAAATGGTTCTTAACAAGCTGTGTTTATGTTAATTGCAATAAATAACTTTGAGCTTGAAAGCGTATGAAAAAGATTTGTGTATTAAGTTGAATGTTGAAAACTTGAGTTGATTGTTCATCATAAAATATTGCTGCGTGAATGAGTGTTCTCTCAGGCTGGAATCCTGTTAAGGAATTTTAACATGAAGCCTGGAACTGTGTGACGAGTTCAAAGGATTCTGATTGACACACTGTCAAAGAGGAAAGACGTTTCATATTTTATTACTAACTTTGGTCACTTGATAGGCTCACAGAAGCTTGATAGATTTTGGCGGAATTATATTTTTGGTCAGGTCAAAAACTAGGTCGATGTTATTAAATATTAAGTGACCAATTAGAAGTTGAGATTTTCTGAAAATATTTATTAAGATGAATAAGCTCTGTGATCCACTTTTTGTATGAAAATTGATCTTGATAAAAAAGGTGGTAGCGGGATGCTAAAGTATCATCCAGATGTATTTTCATCAAAATGATCAACTTGTCTCACTAGATAACAGTTGAAAAGACTTTAATGTTTTTGTAAAAAATGCAATCGTGTTGGTGCTATGAATCTTAAGTTCTACTTCAGTGACAGAAAGGTTTTATAACTGGTTTTTCCTCAGAATAAACAAGTTACCAGTTGGTATTACTAGTCTGGGCTTAGGCATTTTTTCAAACAAATTCAGGATCTCTTCAGTTCCTAACAACTCTCTGCAACAATCACAACACGCTGCAGCATTTACATCTCTATGCAGCACTAGCCACTGCTTACAGTATCTGCAACTCTCTAAAGCACCCATCAGCTGCCTGCGACACCTGTAGCTAAGTGCTTGCAACTGGCTTTAATATGACTGAACACCTGAATATCTTGACAATGAACTCAAGTAATTCAATCTAATAGGCACCAATTCATCCTAACTAGTTAATGTCAACATACAACAAGAAAAGGGGAAGTCTCTTTTTTATTTAGAACCATTGCATCAGTGAAACCTCATATTAGCACACACATTGATTCCAGAAATTCTTGATCAAGAAAATATTTTTCATAGATTTACTTGTCTCTTTGATTTGATTTGTTCTTAAGACTTATCAATCCTTTGAAGTTATTTAAAGCTGAAACATATTTCAGATTGTAAGAGGTTGCATACATTACCTGGTGTTCCTTAGCAGTCATCCATCTCTCTAAGTACTGTCTGGGCTTGACATTGCTTAACTTTAACTTTGGTGATTAAACAGGTATCAGTGTTTTCAGTGTAATTCATCTTTCTGGTCTGACCCAAGGTCATCCCTCTTAACTTTTAAAATATCAGTCAAAACAATGTCTGGGTTGCTTTTGCACATATTTCTCTCAATGTCTACTTTTGATAACTCAATCCCATGTTCAATTGTCTTTCACTTCACTTTGTCATTTTTCGTGTGATTTTAAATAAACTGGTTTTAGCTGATTATCAAAAAAAATCATTTTTTCATCTTCCTTTCTTAGAAAAAAATTTTTTTTTCATTTCAGTACTTTACTGAATCTTTGTTCATTTCTAAAATTCACAGTTTCATAATACATCCACAAATGTAATACAAGGAAATATATGAAGACATATTTTTTATAACTATTTTTCAATTGGTCTATCAATTCTTCCAATGGCCCTATTTGAGTTTCATTGAATAGACTCATTTTTATTATAGCAACACTTTCAATTTAGGCTTACAGCCACATCACATTGAAACATCGGTTCCTGTACGATCACCAAAGTTAAGCAAAGTCGAGCCTAGCCAGTAACTAGATGGGTAACCACTTCAGAATACCAGGTGCTGTAAGCTTGGATGTACAGGCGGTATAATGGATAATGGCTTGTTAATTAGAAAACTGAGTTCTAATTCCAGTTGGATTTGTTATATTCACTTACGCACAAATACCCTTGGGAAAGTTATGAGTCCATCTCTTCTCTCCCCAGCTAACGGTTAATTAGTAAGATTTGTATCACTATAATCTCAAAAAAAAAAAAATTTTCATACAAAATATTTTGGCATTAAATAAAGCAAAAATACTGATATTTTTTTAATCATTTCACCTCAAGCAATGCAATAAAGCCACTAAGATGCATAGAGTTACTGAGTGTTAAAGAAAATGAGCAAAAAAATACTATTAAGGGGAGAGAACAATAAAACAAAGAAGAATGAAGAAGACAGAAGATAATGAATGACATTGCATTTGAATTTTTAAAGATCAAAATTGACTAGGAAGCAAGAAGCTGGAAAAGAGTTCCTCAATATATATATATATATATATATATATATATATTGACCATTAATATTATCTATATATCTATATATATATATATATATCTATATATATATATATGTGTGTGTGTGTGTGTGTGTGTGCGTGTGTAAAATTTCAGATATAACAAATAATATATGTGTAAAACGAAAATATCAATAAAACAAAAGGAAAAATGATCTTAACTGATGTGTTTCGTCCTCTGATGAACTTTATCAAGGCAAATATGTAACCCTCTCCCTACCATGTTGGTCTTCAGATTCCTTCAGACCCATACAGGTTGTGCCAAGTTCTCCTCCTTTCTCCCACCTTCTCAACATCCAACCTCAGCCATTTTCCCAGGGCTGGTACAACTGTCTTTGTGACAAATCTAAATTTTAGAACACATAGACGAAAAGGAGGTTTCCAGTAATGTGTTTTCCTTCGGCCATTCCCTGGTTGTTCAGGATGTCCAACACCCATGGCTGATCAAATAAGTGATCGTTTCAATCCAGACCTTGCTCTACCTCATGTTGTGATTTGCTTTGATCATAAGGCAGGCCAAGATCAAATCACTTGAATGCAAAGAAGAAAAAAAAATATAACACTTGAATAAAAAAAAGTAAATACTATTTTTATATAAGGTCCTTCGTACAACAGTTGGTTAATTGTTGTTAAAGTCTAGGAGTTTGCATGCAGACAATTATTGACCCATTCTGCTTCTTAAATCAGATGCGACACTTTGTTAACTTGGTAAAATTTCAGTATCTGTCTATATTTCTGAGATGAGGTATTATGTACACTATTTACATTATTCAGACTATTGTCCTCATTTTTTCGCCATGTTTATCACAATGTTTTGGCTGTTGTACACTCTGGCCTTCTTAAGGTGGTTGGAATGTCAATCTGAACCCTTTATTTTGCTCACTGGGGTAGACTGTTCTCGTTCAACATGCCATGTCTAGTGGATGTTAGTTATCACCTGTTAATTCCCCTCTCAAAGTTCTCCACCACCTTAACCAGGTATTGAACTCACACTCTTTGGGTCCTGTCACTGAATCTAACTAATGCCTTTATCCATTGTGCCATGTGTCCTCAATGTGTCAACTCCATGTTTTTCATTGTCCAAAATTGAAACACAACCCAGATGGCTTTCCACATCTTTGAGGTCCCATCAGGGACATTCTCTAAAAAAATTCTTATCTCCGAATTAGAATTTTAAATCCTATCTGATTCTCTCCCCTTGCCTTCACAGCCTGCATTTTTATCTGTATGTCATCCATCAAATGTCAAAATATTTGCCATATGACCTTTCTTTCTTTATCAGTTTGTCTCACTGTTTGTTTTAGGTGATTTTCCAAAGCCAGAGACATGACCATATTTTAAGATAAATCGAAGCCAATCCAGATGGTCCCTGCCAGCCAAATCTCAAGAATTTTTTGTTCATCCAACAGTTATCATAGGTGAGAAAAAAGAAAAAAAGATTCTCAATATCTTTAGTAATAAAAAATATCTATTTCTCTGGTTATGTGTTTCTCAGTCAGCCAGACCACCCAACATTGCTTATGCATTTTAACTGGAGAAAATCTAGTTTGCCCCTGTCAACCAAATCCCCAAAATTGTTTGTTTATCCAACAGTCATTGTACATTCAGTTTGTTTTCCTTTTTAGTACTGACCTTGCAAAAATTACAACTCAATCCTTTCATACTCTCTGCAACCTTTTTCTTCTCTTTCCCTTTTTTTCTCTCCCTTTTTTCTTTCCATTTCAATTTCCTTTTTTCAGATTAACTCCTTGAGGCCTTAGTGCCACAAATGAAAGTAAGAATATTGTTAGTTTTTAAATTTTTTTTAATTTAAGAAATGTTCATAAATATTCATCAGGCTAACTGAAATATTTAGGTAAGTTATGGAGGGTATCAAGTGATGCAATATATATATATATATATATATATATATATGGCAGCATAGCTGGGGCATGGCCTGCTTTGGTCAGGATTGATACTGGTATTGGAGAACAAGCCGTCAGCCCACACTCATCTGTTGTTGATGGCGTTTGAAACAGCAGCTGGTTTTTAAGTTGACCTCTTCACAAAAGAAGGAGACTAGTTGAATTGTACATATTTGCCATATGACCTTTCTTTCTTTATCAGTTTGTCTCACTGTTTGCTTTATGTGATTTTTGTGGATGTTGTCCTCATTTTTTTCGCCATGTTTATCACAATGTTCTGGCTGTTGCCTTCTTAAGGAGGTTGGAATGTCAATCTGAACCCTTTATTTCGCTCACTGGGGTAGACTGTTCTCGACCTTTTGGATTACAGCAGTATAATAAATAATTTCTGCAAAGGAATAAGCCAATCTCTTCTTACCCATGTTGTGAGTTTTGATCTTAAGAGGGTCAAGCCGAATTATCACACAAAATTGAAAAATAAAATGGATTATGCCTGAATACTATCACTATATGATGTTTATATCAAAATGAAAAAAATAAATATTTAGTTCTTTTTTTTTTTATTTTTCTTCTTTTCCCAACCCATTCTAATATTTGGCGTTGGGACGAAAATTTCGGGTAACTTCTTTAAGGGTGGCCAGATTTAACAACTGGGTTTATCTTCAAGTACTGTTGTTTGTACTTTTAAGAACGGCACAAGATTTATCATTGGAGTTTTTCTTCATCAACAACCAGATTTAACTTCAAGTACTGTTATTTGTACTTTCCAGAATGGCACAAGGTTTATCATTGGAGTTTTTCTTCATTAGCAGATAATTATCATTATTATTATCAGGTTGGCAAAACAGCATTATGGCAGAAATCTCTTAACTCCCAGTCGCAACTTCACTCCAACTGCAACTCACTTTGGCCCCCATGGGCACTTATATTTATGGGTATCCCTTCTAACTGGTGTGGTGCAGGCGAGTAGGTGAGTTTTATGCAAATCTCCTAAAATTCAACTAGTCTCCTTCTTTCGTTTTCTGTTCTACACTTCCAATTTTGGAAGATCTCCTCCTCTTTCGGGAGGAGCCGTTATATGAAGTCAACCTTCCTGATGTCACCTTCTGCCTTTACAATTGCTCATTCTGTTTTCACAATTATAATTTTTTCTCGGGGAAATTTTGGCTGATAATTTTCCCAGTACGTGGACATTGACACCTTTCAACAGGCGACCTTAACCTTTGGCCTCTAAACCTGCCAGTTGTGTTTCACTGAATAGTAACAATCGCATTGTGTAACTTTTCAACCTATTCTCCATATCCTGGGAAAATGAATCCCTTTCTGACAAAAAAAAAAATCATTTTAACCCTTTCGTCTGTATGCCATGTTAAATATTATTACATATATATACACCTTGAATATTACTATACTTTTAATATTTATTTTTAAAAATCATGAAAAATTTTCTTGTTCATTCATTTATTTAATATTTTTAGAACATTCTACTTGAGAAAATTAAATAATTCCATTGTAAAAAAAAGCTTTTGAGAAGCTTAAAATCACTGCTGAATAATTCATTTTAAATTTCTTGATATTAGAATAAGAAAATATATTAAGAAAACAAACATGCTTTAAAAGTCAGTATATATTGCTATATTATAAAATATAGATATTATGTTTAAGGAAAAGGTCATGAAGCATATTTGTTAAAAAATATATAATTTTCTGCAGTCAATATTTTTAATAAAAAAAAAATTAGGAAAATGGTAACCACAATAATAGTCAACAAGTTTTGTGGATATCATGTAGTTATCTCCCTTATACTGCATTCAATGAATGTGTGTAATTAGCCTAACAGTTATCAAAGCAGAAAATAGAATCAACAAACCAAGTTTAAGTTTACTTTTTTTGCATTCACTTTGTATTTTTAAAATCTGTATTTTTTAATTCTCAGTCACTAGTCTTAATCTGGGTGGTTGACTCATCACTTCTTTTTTCCAGCTGATAGTTGAATCCGCAATCTTCTATTAGCCTTACCCAGCCCACTTTGTGTTGTTTAGATCCTGGAAAAAATGTATCTGACAAATTTTCTTGATCTCTGGAACAAGATAGAATTTACCATACTTGTTGGATTACAGCAGTATAATAAATAATTTCTGCAAAGGAATAAGCCAATCTCTTCTTATAACAATAAGTTGTTTTAATTTGATGTCAGTAATATTCACTACTGTTGCTGCTAGAAGTGTCGGATCTACTAAGAAACTAATGAAGATTAAGTTTCAGGGCCCCTAACCCTAGAGGGACTCCTGAAGCAACTCTTTTTAATGAGTGAATTTTTCATCAAAATCAATTTAAATTAAATCAGTTTAAAATTTAAGCATTTTTTATTAAAATAATAATTTAGTAATAGAATCATAAGCCAATGGGTTGAAGTAGTTAATTCTGTCCTAAGAAAATGTTCTAATAGTAATACCCATTTCATATGGCCTTAAAATTTCTGTAATTGGTCAATTTTAATATTTTCTTGGGGGCTTGCAGCACCAGAACCCCCAGCTGTATTGACTAGTTGAGCTTGCCAGAATCTATTCATAACCTATATTTTTGCAGTTTCATCTTTGAATCTATTGT